ACGCATTCTTCTGAGCGTGAAAGCTCACTGAATTTGGAGTACTTTTTTAGTTGGCCCAGGCATGGCTGAGTGGCAAAAATGGAAAATGTGCTGAATCGGCGCGGCGATTATTTCGCAGTGTAAATGATTTTTTGTAAATGTTCTATTATTATTTTTGGAAAGAACACGACCTCATCTATGGATTCTCAAAATTTCAGATTTTTGTGCATGTTCGTCCGAGCACAAAAAAATCCCCAAAATTCGCAGCCCTAAGGCTGCGGTACAGTGGGCTTCGGCGTCTGCGTCAAGGTGTCACATTTTCGGCGGCGGGCGACCAGGACGCAAAGTGGGTTTTTAGGGGGCAAAAATTTGGGGGGGACCGGTCCTTGGCAAAATTGGGGACTACCTACAGGCAACTCTGGAATGACCGAGACTTTTGAAAAAAGCAAGGACCGGTCCTCGGGTGGAAGTGGACCCCAAAAAGAAGTGGGGGTGGGGTAAGCGCCCTCAGGCCCAGCCGTTGAGGCCCGTCTTCTCAAAACAGGGAGGCCAGGCGCAACAAAACAGGCGTTTTGCAAGAGGCATCTTTGGCGATTTTCTGTGCTCGGAGGAACCTGTTGGAAAATCTAAAACTTTGAGAATCCATATATGAGGTCGTGTTCTTTCTAGGAAAAAATTAGAACATTTAAAAAAAAATCATTTAGACCGAGAAATAGTCGTCGCGCAGATTGGACACATTTTCCATTTTTGCCACTCAGCCATGTGTGGGCCAACTTAAACCACCTGTACTTGGACCACATATCGGCCGTGGGCCTTAGCGTTAACGCTACGCGAAGTTCGCGCTTCGGGCAACCGGACCTACAAGGCTGGCGCCGCCAGCCTTTTCGAAAACAAAAATGGAATTGGCCCTTCGACGGAAAACGGCGCGCAGGGTATTTCCAGGCTCGGCTGCGATAGCTGGGCCAAGTACTGGTGGTTTAAAAAATACTCCAAATTCAGCGAGTTTTCACTCTCAGAAGAATGCGTGAAAAAACCTGAAAATTTGAGTACTCGTCGATTTTGTTGTGATCTTTCCAGGAAAAATGCGAAATAAATTAAAAAACATCATTCCAACTATGAAATAGATTGTGGCCGCAATTTGACCCATATTTCAATTTTGCCATTCAGCCTCTCTCTCTCTCTCTCTCTCTCTCTCTCTCTCTCTCTCTGTAGT